CCAACCACCTCATCATGTACCCATCCATGGCATTCCCCATTGCCCGCCTCCTTTCTTTCTCACTCACGCCAGGGGCTGCTGTAGCGTTCTCCTTATACCCCATGGCCAGCTCCCTCTCCAGGGCCGTGGGCTCTTCCCAACGTCCTTTCCTATGGTCATGCACCAATCCTGGGCCCGGCTGCTCCCCGTCCATCCGATATCCCGCTGCCCCCTCGTATGACACCAGGGTGGGTAGTGCTTGCCTCTCCTGCCCCACCTGGTTGCACGGATAGTGTCTGCTGTAGCTCTTCTTGTTCACTGGTGCTGGCGTTCTTCCTGGCTCCAGTATATCGCTCAGCTTCCGCCCCCCAGCTCTCTGTACCCCTTCTATCTCTTTCTGCAGGTCTTCCACTGGCACCACATTCTGCCAGTACATCCTGAGCCGGTGGGCGTATGCTCCCATCCGCGCCGCGTCACTGCTCACCCCTTACCCACCTGCTGGGTTACTCTCTCCCTCACCAGTCTCACTGGTTCTCGCACATCCCCACTCATGTCTAAGTGCTCAAGAAGATAAGCCAGCCTGCCCTGCCTAGCCTGCACCCACTCCATAATTCTGAACAGATCCTCCATCAGTTGGGTCCTTGGGTCTTGCTCACCCTTGCCCTTCCCTGCCCATGATACCCCTTGGCATTCCCACCCTGCCACCAGCAGGTCCACGTGCCCCCAGCTTGCCACTTCAGCTTCCGTGATCGCCCTCACGTCGGTCACTCCTCTGCTCATTGCCGCCTTGACCACTTTTTCCTTCAGCAGTTCCGGAAATTCTTTGTGCAGCTCCCACGCATAGTGCTCCGCTATTTTCCTCACTTCCGGCGCCTTCTCCACGTAAACCCATTGCTTCACTGCGATTCCATTCCGCACCACTGCTGCCAGTCCCGCCCCTATTCCTCCAAACAGTTCCACCAGCCAGATGGGTTGCTGCCAATCTGTCTGTTGGCTGGGCTCATCCATGAAGCGCATCCTAGGCTCCCCACCCTTTCCTCTGCCTGCCGCTTTCTCTTGTGCCCCCTGTTTCGCTGTCCCCTCCTTCAGATCTGCCCTGTAAGCCCTTTTTGGCTCTGTCCTGACAAACTGCACAGGCAGCTGCCCTAGTGGCTCACCCTTCCTCCACCACCTGGTTCGAAACTCCACTGTCTCCTTCCAAAAGCAGATGGTCATGCCCAATGCAAAGATCATCTCTGTGCCCACCAGGACGTCAAAGTCTTCAGACTCTGAAATCCCACATCTGATCCTCACCGGCGTTTCATGTTTCTCTCCCTTCAGCACTGTCAGTTCTATCGGCGTCCTTGTGCACGGCATCCACTTCGACTCTCCTCCCTCTGCTGTCATTACTAGCATCCCCTTCACTACGTGTCTGTCAGGTGCCCACAGTCCCAGCTTCTCGGCCATCCCCTTTCCTAGTATCACGCTCTGCGCTCCAGTGTCTATGATTGCCGTCTTAGCCTTCTACCCCTCCACTGACAGCGCGCCGCCTTGGATCAGTAGCACGGAAGTCTGACAAGCCAACCTCTCCTGGGGGTGCCGTGCCGCGGTGCAACTCTCTTCCCTCTCTTCCGGTTTCTGTCCTCTCTCCCGCTCCTTTCACATCTGCTCCTTCCGTGCATCCTTTCCTCCGCTGCGCAGCCCCATCTCCTCCCTTCCTCTCCATGCCATATACGCTGGTTGCTCCTCATGCTCCATCTCATTCTCTTCTTTTCCCGCCCAGACCATGAACGCGGCTTCCTCCTCTTCTTCCTTGGCGTACATCCCCGCCTCTGCTTCCCGTCGTGGTCCCATTGCCTGCAGCTGGGCTTGTAGCCTGCTGATCTGCTTCTCCAACTCTTCTGGCGTCTTCTCCGCTGCTCCCTCTCGCTGATAACACTCCTTTGCTGCATGCCCTCCCTTCCCACAGACTTCACATTTTGGCGCCGTTGGACATTCCCGCCGCCTGTGCCCTGGCTTGCCACAGGAGTCACAGTTCTTGCAGTCCCTGCGCAAGTGTCCTGGCTGCCCGCATCTGTGGCACGTCCGCGTGTCAGGCCTGGTCTCCCCTCTTCCTGCTGCCCTATCCTTCTCTTCCGGTATCATGGCTGCTGCCCACGTAGGTCCCCTGCCTCGCTCTGCCGGTCGGGGCCGATATGCTTAATATTTCCTCTGTGCCAGCTCCATCTTCTCCGCCAGCTCAAACACTTCCTCAAGCGTCGTGTCAGCCCCCATCTCATACACCTTCATCTGCAGCCCGCTTCCCAAAGTGCCCTCCAGCCCGTCTAGGAATTTGCTCACGAGCAGGGCCATATCCGCAAAAGTCACATCCTCCGCCAGGTTAACCAGTCGGTTGTAGTAGGTGAGTAGTGACTCGCCCCGTCCCTTCCTGAAGTCCTGGAATTCCCTTATCTTCTCTGCGGTGTGGCCTGGGAACTGCCGCTTCAGCCGCCTCAGGAATGCTTCCGTAGGGTCTTCCCCGTACCTTCCTGCCCTCTCCAGTAGCTCATCCATCTTCATCCTGTACAGTGTCTCTGCCTCCCCTTCCAGTGTGTTCGGCAGACTCAGGAAGAAGTCTACCGAGTCCATGCCGCTCCTCTCACATCTGTACCGCACATTGCCCACTTGCATCAGGTAGTTCTTTAGCGTGGGCCCCATACGCTGATCTTCTGAGAAGCGTGCCGGCACTTCCACTCTCGTGGCCATGGCCGTGCTTCCCCTGCCTTCTCCCCAGGCCTCGCTCGGCCCTCCTGCTGATCTCCCTGATGCTCCTCTCTCTCTCTCTCTCGCCCGCTGTATTCCCTCCCTTGCCTCCCTGGCTCGCTCCAGGCTGTGCATTAGCCCGCTGCCTCCCTCTCTGCTGCCGCGTTGCTCCCGTCCTTCCTCACCGGCACGTCTTCCCTCGTGCTGCCAGTACTGGCCAGGCGAGTGAGACCCATCGCCGCGCTTTTCATCCTTGCTCTGTTGCCGATGTTGCGAGCGGTATCCGCCTCCCCGGCTTTCTTCATGTTGCAGGTGCCAGTCAGGCGAGCGCGCCTCGCTTCCCCACCTCTCTCCACGGTACCGTTGCAGGTCAGTCGAGTGGTAGCCACCTCCGCGTCTCTCATCACGAGGGTGATGAGGCTCTGGTGAGCGCAAATCCCCTCCGCTTCTCCAGTCGTGATACCTCCGCGGATCCGGCGAGTGCGCGCTGCCCCCGCGCCCACTGTCCCGGTGCTGCCGCAGTTGTGGCGAGCGGTAGCCGCCTCCGCGCCTCTCCTCATGCAGCGGCCGCCGTTCTGGCGAGCGGTAACCGCTCCCGCGCCTCCCATCATGCTGCAGCCGTGGATCTGGCGAGCGCATGCCGCCGCCGCGTTCCCCGTCACGATTCTGCCGCGGATCTGGCGAGCGCGCGCCGCCACCACGTCCCCCATCACGATTCGACCGCGGATCTGGCGAGCGCGCGCCGCCGCCGCGTCCCCCGTCACGATTCAGCCGCGGATCTGGCGAGCGCGCACCGCCGCCGTGCCCTCCGTCACGATTCAGCCGCGGATCCGGCGAGCGCGCGCCGCCGCCGCGTCCCTCGACACGTTGCTGACGCGGATCCGGAGAGCGCGAGCCACTGCCGCGCTTCCCGCCGTCACTCTTCTCTCCGCCGCGCGACTGGTTTCGCGTACTGTTCTTTCCGTCCGCCTCTGCCGTGCTTGGCTCAGCCGCCACGCCCGCATGCGCGGGATCATCGTCGTTGACTCCGGCGGGCATCTCACGCTGCTCGCCTGCGCCTTCCTCCTGGGATTCGTCATCGCCCTTGGTTTCGCCTTCGCGATTCGTCTCCCGCACTTGATTCGCCGTGTCGGCCTCTTCTCCTCCATCCACATCAAGATCGCCCTGGCGACCAGAGAAGAGCTCCTCCAGACCTCGCCCGCGACTACGATCTTCGCGACGGTGATAGCCTTCCTCCGGCGAGCGATATGCTCCCGTGTCCTGGCGATACCCATGACCGCCAACAGCTCCGCGGCGCTCGTCCGTCCGCCACGGGTCACTCCCATCGTGACGGATCCGGATCCGCCTCTTCCTTCTCGAGCGAATCCTCCCTCTTGGCGATCTGGCGCGAGAGGGACCTGATCCGCGCGAAAGGCCGGCCTCCGTGGCGATCGCTCAGGCCGCCGCGGCGACCTCTCCAACGAACGCCCGCGCTCACGTGAGCGCTCGCGCCGCGAGCGATCCTCCTCACGGCGACCGTAATTCCGGCCGTAACGCAGCTCGTACACGTCCATGCTTGTACGCGCACCCCTTTCCGTTTGTTATGAAAGAAAAAATAACTCTCACCTCAAAGGTCCTCCCTGAGTGGTGTGCCACCTGTCTGCACGGCTAAGGCAACAACAATCCACTATACGAAAGGATAACAAACGGAAAGCATTGTGTGTGTGTGTGAGAGTGACTTTACCTGGCCCAGGCTCGAACCGTGCATTTCTCAATGTGCGGCTCGAGCCTGGGTTGGTTCGTTCCCATTGGTTGCATGGATTTCACCCCTTGGTGCTCTCCTCCCAACCTCGTGACAATTTCCCAGCCCCCCCACCTACCTAGCCTCGAATCTGCATACAGCACATTACTACACCAGCGCTACACCACAACATCAAGGAGGCGCGTTGTGTACATTATGCACAACCGTGCATATTCGGTGACATCTACTTCAAGGAGTCGGCCCCCTGCAGCTGGGACCTAGATTTTGCAGTGTTGCTAGCTGCGACATCGCTGGTTGCTCAGGCCAGCGGAGGATTGTTCGCTGGGTTCAAGTCTGGTTACCACATTCAGGTTCTCTCACCTCAAGCGGAAAATGTTGACCAGCCGGGTTTTAAACCCTGTGCTCTGATACCAGTATAACACCTCGCTACCCACTGGGTCAAAACGAGGGTGTTATTTGGCGCAGCGGAATGCCCATTATAACACTTAGCCCACAGGCGTTACACTCACTCACTCTCCCCATCCGCACCACTGCACGTGTCTCATTCTCCTTCCCCACTTCAAGAACCACGTTTTGGGTGCGTCAAAAAGGCATCATCATCACCATCACCATCACCACCATCACCATCACCATCACCATCACCACCACCACCACCACCACCACCATCACCATCACCATCACCATCACCACCACCATCACCATCACCCACGACCATCATCATCACCATCATCACCATCACCATCATCATCACCATCACCATCACCATCACCATCATCACTACCAGCATTGCCAGCACGCAGTGGGAGCTTCGAGGATGCCAGTGGGGGAGGCGGTGCCGCTCTCTCCTCCTTCCCACTGCCCCTCCCCACTTCTGCTGCCACCACCACTCATGAGACCGACCATATGCATCCATCGCCCTCTGCTGCTACTGCTGGTGGGCGCAGAAGGGTGGGTGTGGCAGCTAAGAGGGGGTATTGCGAGCAGGCAGAGCAAGATGAGGAACCGGGGGAGGAGGGGGGCAGGGGGGAGCAGAGGAGGCGGAGGATGAGGAGGAGGAGGACAAGCCAAGGAGGAGGCGAAGGCAGAAGCTGCATCTGCTGCCTGAGACTCCTGTGGGGAGGGCAGCAGGGAGGAAAAAGGCATGCTCCGGCAGGGTGGGAGGGCTGGAAGGGGGAAGAGTTCAGTAGCAGTGTGATGGTGAGGGGAACGGGGCATGCTGTGGTGTGGTGTGGGAGGAAGGGAGCTGCTGCTGGTGAAGTGTCCAGGTCTTTGGCTGCACTGTTATTGGCCCAATGGGGTGTGGGTATGGTGCCTTGAAGGGTCAATGGCAAACGATCGGAGTGGGCCTTGAGGGGGTCCTGCTTCTGCTGCTGAAAGGGGCGCTTGTGTACCAGTCAAGGGAGAATGGAAGCTTGCCAAGTGCTGAAGGGAGGAGCGGAAGGGACAATGCATGGTGGTAGGAGTTAACGTTGTCTGATTCATCGTAATGTTCACCAGAGCATTTTTTTTTCCACGTTTCAGGAAACTACCGGTTCTTGTAACTAGGAAAATACGTAGAATGATTGAGTGCATAGGCCCACCCTCCCATGGCACAGAACGGCATGAGAACCAAATATTTGCCTTATATCATTTGAATACATATACCCATACCCTGATAGAAAACCAACTCATGGTATCAAATCATGATACTATTGTTCACAAACTGTCACACAAAACCTGCTCTGCCCCTTGTGTCTGCGCAAATACAGCCGTTGTGTCACCCTCGTGCATCACTTGCTCATTCAGCAACGCCAAATCCTCCTCCATACTCCTCCGTAACTGCTGACTCGACAGCTTCTCGTCAACCCTCGCTGCTGCTCTTGCTCTCGCATCCCCCCCTCCCGCCTCCTCTTGAATAATTTCCAGGTATTGGGCCACGCGGGACATGGAGGGGCGGGAGGCGGTGGGCATGGTAGTGCAGGTGACTGCGAGGTGGGCGAGGCGAATGGTGATGTCTTCTGGTGCCTCCATGCGTGGGTCCTTGAGGTGTGTAATCTTTCCTTCAGCCATGAGATCCATTGCCTGGGATATGGGGCCGGACGGACATGATAAGAGGGCAGGAAACACATGATGGGGGGCTGGAAGATACATACAGAGGGCGAGGGCATTTGATCAGGGGTGGGAGAATACATGACAGGGGCGGGGAACACATGACAGGGGCGGGGAACACATGACAGGGGCGGGGAACACATGACAGGGGCGGGGAACACATGACAGGGGCGGGGAACACATGACAGGGGCGGGGAACACATGACTGGGGCGGGGAACACATGACAGGGGCAGGGAACACATGAACGGGGCAGGGAACACATGAACGGGGCAGGGAACACATGACTGGGGCAGGGAACACACGACAGGGGCAGGGAACACATGAATGGGGCAGGGAACACATGACTGGGGCAGGGAACACATGACTGGGGCAGGGAACACATGACAGGGGCAGGGAACACATGACTGGGGCAGGGAACACATGACAGGGGCGGGGAACATATGACTGGGGCAGGAAACACATGACTGGGGCAGGGAACACATGAATGGGGCAGGGAACACATGACTGGGGCAGGGAACACATGACTGGGGCAGGGAACACACGACAGGGGCAGGGAACACATGAATGGGGCAGGGAACACATGACTGGGGCAGGGAACACATGACAGGGGCAGGGAACACATGACTGGGGCAGGGAACACATGACAGGGGCGGGGAACACATGACTGGGGCAGGGAACACATGACTGGGGCAGGGAACACATGAATGGGGCAGGGAACACATGACTGGGGCAGGGAACACATGACTAGGGCAGGGAACACATGACTGGGGCAGGGAACACATGACTGGGGCAGGGAACACATGACTGGGGCAGGGAACACATGACTGGGGCAGGGAACACATGACTGGGGCAGGGAACACATGACTGGGGCAGGGAACACATGACTGGGGCAGGGAACACATGACTGGGGCAGGGAACACATGACTGGGGCAGGGAACACATGACTGGGGCAGGGAACACATGACTGGGGCAGGGAACACATGACTGGGGCAGGGAACACATGACTGGGGCAGGGAACACATGACTGGGGCAGGGAACACATGACCGGGGCAGGGAACACATGACCGGGGCAGGGAACACATGACAGGGGCACAACAGGTGAAGGGAACCCTGATGAGCACGAGCCTAAGCAGTTGCGATTTGAGCGTGAAGGAAAGAACAGTGCATACATTGACGGGCGTAAGCAGGAAGAGCAAACACGCCCATCTGGAGATGGAGATTGGCTTGAGCTCACGCAGAACATCTTTGTCAATTTTAGACAATTTCCCTATTTTCAAGCACACCCGTCTGCAAACACACCCATTTGGAGATGGAGATTGGCTCGGTGGCTGGGCTGATGGCACTGATGGTGGCTCCTCTGCCTGTCAGCATCACCAGCATGAGCACGCCAAAGCTGCACCATGAAACACATCCAAGCACACACAAGGAAAAGCTTCCCATGAAAAAGCTTTTGGTGGCCATGGCCACGGAGGTTTGTCATATTGATGGTGGCTCCTCTGACAAAAGTAGCGTATTGAGACGTCTCAAAACACTACTTTTATCACGTGGCTATTCTTGGAGGCCACGGTCACGAAGGCTCGTCGCATCGTATTGGTGGTGTATCCTCTCCCAGAAAGAATCATGAACATGATGCCATAGCTGCACCGTGGAACACATTGAGATGCAAAACACGAAACAAAGGCAAGGATCGACTGATGTCATACGCTAGAAAAGCTATGGGAAAGAAGCACTGCCAAGCGCCATCCCACAATGAGAGGAAAGAATGCAAGTGCGGGCACATGGCAATAGATAAAAGGAAAAGTATATGTATTGGGATGCTGGAGCGCGCATTAAGCCTTAACTCCCTTGTATCTCATTCTTTCACTGAACGTGCATCCGGCATAGTAGAGGCTGTGGTTCGACCCACGCTACCATTTAAATCACTGTTTGACACGTGTCATTCACTGTACATTTGCACACCAGTGACGGTGGTGGTGTCACTTTCCTTGCATTACGAACCCGACTTAAAAACCAAAAACTGGCATTAAAAGTCTGCAACACACCTATAAACGTCAGCAGTGGTGGTGGCGTTGTGGGTGAGCGAGTAAGCAGGGTCCACATAGCCTACCGTTCCCAGCACTCGCGTGAATCCCGTTGCCGTGCCCGCTGCTGTGCCCTCCCCCACGTGCACAAGCCCAAAATCTGCCACCTTCGCCTGGGGAAGGTCGGGCACGGGAGGCAAGACGAGAGGCATAGGAGGATTGGGGCAAAATAGATTTATCCGATTCAGACTGAGTCACAGTGGGTTGATCTGATTGAGGATGGGTTGATCTGATTAAAGATGGATGTAGCGCCTTCCCTCCCCACCTTCACGTGAAGCAAGTGTCTTGCCAACATGTAATCATCCCACCTCAACACCGCACCGCACCGCACCGCACCGCACCGCACCTGCATGTGGGCGTCAATGAGGATGTTGGCTGGCTTGATGTCGCGGTGCACGAGGCCAAAACTGTGGAGATACTCCAACCCACGCGCCACCCCTAGTAGGATGCCCACCCGCTGCTGCAGAGTCAAGCTTCTGGGCGCATCTGGAGAATGGCAGAGCAAAGGCAAGGCCGCATTAGAGGGAAGCAGCATTGGAGGAAAGAGACAACACTACAACTGCAGAGTTGACACACAACGGCGTGGTTGAGACAAGACAGCACACAACAACGGACTGGACGGTACCTGGGGCGATCCAGCTGCGCAGGTCGCCACAAGTGGCTGTTGACACAACAGACAACAGAATGAACCAGGCAGTACCTGGGGCGATCCCCGTGCCACACAACAGAATGGACAGGACTGTACCTGGGGCGATCCAGGTGCGCAGGTCGCCGTTGGCGATGAACTCGTAGACGAGAATGTTCTCCACACGTGTGTTCACATGGCCTCCCACTGCATACCCCAGCAGCCGCACCAGATTGGGGTGGTGCTTCGTTGCCATCTGCGCCACCTGTGGTAGACCAAGAGACGAGAAGCAGGGAAGGATGTGTGTGATGACACAATGCAGCACTTTTAGGCAGATGTTTGTTTAACGTACGAGCATCTTAGTTTCAGCAGTGTGGTATTCTTTGAATATGAAAAATACATACGCGACAAATCAATAGCAATTAGGCCGATAGAAGAAGCAAATAGAAAAGCAAAGATTTCCAGACTTACGATAGAGATTAGCTGATAAGTTGCAACAACATTACCTCCCCAATTCACCACGGCCTGCCGCAAGTCAGGACAAAACCCATGTGGATGTGGTACACGTCTCCAAAGGGGTCTACCTTCGAGCGCCCCAAGACTACTGGCGCCAGCGTGGGCCCACCTCTCTGTGAGTCGGCGGTGATGTCAGAATTCTCAACGGTGCCGGCCCACCTCTCTGACCTCGGCCCACCTCTCTGACCTCGGCCCACCTCTCTGACCTCGGCCCACCTCTCTGACCTCGGCCCACCTCTCTGACCTCGGCCCACCTCTCTGACCTCGGCCCACCTCTCTGACCTCGGCCCACCTCTCTGACCTCGGCCCACCTCTCTGACCTCGGCCCACCTCTCTGACCTCGGCCCACCTCTCTGACCTCGGCCCACCTCTCTGACCTCGGCCCACCTCTCTGACCTCGGCCCACCTCTCTGACCTCGGCCCACCTCTCTGACCTCGGCCCACCTCTCTGACCTCGGCCCACCTCTCTGACCTCGGCCCACCTCTCTGACCTCGGCCCACCTCTCTGACCTCGGCCCACCTCTCTGACCTCGGCCCACCTCTCTGACCTCGGCCCACCTCTCTGACCTCGGCCCACCTCTCTGACCTCGGCCCACCTCTCTGACCTCGGCCCACCTCTCTGACCTCGGCCCACCTCTCTGACCTCGGCCCACCTCTCTGCGAAAGTCAGCAGTGATGACTTTGGCGCGCTTCACGGCCCACAGCGTGGTGCCATCCTCGGGGCACACCCCGCGGTACACGTCTCCATACGCGCCCGACCCCAGCAGACACTCCTTGGACCAGTTGTTGGTTGCACGAGCCACAAGAGCCAGGGAGTACCGTCGGCATGGTGTGGTTGTGTTTTCTAAACGGGGGCTGGGGGATTCTGCAGTGAGTATGGTATGGGGAAGGGCACCAGGTTGTGTGTGTGTGTGTGTGTGTGTGTGTGTGTGTGTGTGTGCGTGTGTGTGTGAGTTCTTCATTTTTCTTCTTTTCGTAGAAGCAACACAATCAGGACTCACAGCACAGCGTTTTGCATTGTAAGTTCTTTTTAGACCAAGATATGAAGTTGCTATGCCGCTCTTTGCTGAAATCTGCCTGAATGAAGGTGGTTCTCCATTAAGGAGAAGCAAACATGAAAAAAAAAAAGGAAAGACATACCTTCTGTGGAAACCTTGAAGTGGCCGACAAGCCACCAAGCTACGGCAAGCAGGATAAGCAAGAGCACAACGGCTGCTGTGACAGTGCCAATGACAGCTCCCGCGGACAGACCAGATTGGGAGGAGGAAGTGAGTGAGGTGGAGGAGGGTGAGGAAGAGGAGGGGGAGGAGGAGGGGGAGGAGGAGGGGGAGGAGGGGTGGACGGATTGATTGGGTGATAATGGGGATGGTGAAGGGGAGGCCACGAGTGGTGATGGGGAGGCCACGAATGGTGATGGGGGTGGGGCTGCTTTGGAGGGACACATGCACAGGCACACCAGAATGACATGCAGTGAGGCACCAGAATCACAAGTGGCGAAAATAATGTTCCTACTCTGCACGAATGAAAGTGGAAGGCACGAATGGACTAACAGCCTACCAGCACAAATCTGAGTGGCATGACTTAGCATTGACTGGCATGACTTAGCATTGATTGGCATGGCTTTGTGTTAACAAAAGGGGCTCGTTTTTATTGGCAGAGAGCCTGTTTCTGACTGGCAATGCTCCAAGCACCTTTCCACATATTGATTTCCCTCAAAGTTTACCTGTGCGTGTGGCACAGGAGAGCATTGAGTCGTCTCAACAGTCACTTGTACATGTGGCACAGAAGCCCATGCAGCTGCAGGGAGACTTGGGATTTTTTCAAATACTGCAATGGACAGCCCATGAGGCTCACATGCATCACTTGCGCACGTGGCACAGAAACCCCAAGGAACTCACATTCATCAATTGTGCACGTGGCACAGAATTCATGGCAGTCTACGCAAAAGGCGCTGTAGTTGGTCTGCCGAACCACACAGCTGGTCGCATTCGGCGGGCAAGTGAGGCCCGAACCAGACATCTCGCTGTTGGATGGAAGGAGGGTGGTGCATGGAGGGGGGGGATGGTGGATGGAGGGGGGATGGTGGATGGAGGGGGGATGGTGGATGGAGGGGGGATGGTGGATGGAGGGGGGATGGTGGATGGAGGGGGGATGGTGGATGGAAGGGGGATGGTGGATGGAGGGGGGATGGTGGATGGAAGGGGGATGGTGGATGGAGGGGGGATGGTGGATGGAAGGGGGATGGTGGATGGAAGGGGTGAAACAGGGTGGAGGGTGATCACACGCAGCAGATGGGAGTGCCAAGGCATGATGACATGACAGGAAGGGGACGGAGCCTATGATAATGTTTCTTATGTGAAAGGAAGCACGTGAAAGGCAAGTTCTTGTCGTAGCTGGTCACACTGACTATGAGAGTACACGGTACAGCAGGTCACACTGACCATCACAGAACACGGCACTCAGAACACGGTGCTCAGAACACGACACTCAGAACATGGCACTCAGAACACGGCACTCAGAACACGGCACACAGAACACGGCACACAGAACACGGCACACAGAACACAGCACACGGCACAGCAGGTGACTCACAGAAAGAAGAGGCCTTTAGAGCCGCCAAGAGCAGCAGGTAGGGGGCCGGAGAAATTGTTGTGACTGAGGTACCTGCCATGCCGTGCAGTGGAGGGATCAAACAGACAATGGCCGGACATCCCAAGGGCCGGATGCAATGAAAGGATAAACAAAGAGACTCAATACGGTAAACAGCAAAAGAGTCACAAGACGATGAGGACCATTGGCGAGGCATCACCTGCATCTCCCCAACGACAATCCAGAGGCCGTTTTAGGCGCGGGTGGGGGGAAGAGGGGGGTTGGGAAGACAGAAAAGCGTGGGAGAGATTTTTGTGGTGTTGATGTGTGAGGGCAGCACTACATGCATGTGGAGGTATGTGTGTGACAGATGATACACAAAAATCACAAGAGCACACTCACGTTACACGTCAACAGCGCAGCAGACGAGCGGAGCAGCATAGAGCATTACACTCACAGCCTCATAGTTGCAGATGTAGGAGAGTTGTACTCGAAAACAGGCAGCACTGGTGTGGCAATGCACAGGCCAGGTACAAACAATAGTGCACGTATCACTCTCTCCAGTGCTTCTTCGTTTAGAGGTCTCATAGGTTATCACTCGTGATTTACTTGCAAACTGTGTCCTCAATCTTCTTTGCAGGTACAATAGTGCACGTATCACTCTCTCCAGCGCTTCTTCGTTTAGAGGTCTCACAGGTTATCACTCGTGATTTACTTGCAAACTGTGTCCTCAATCTTCTTTGCAGGTACAATAGTGCACGTATCACTCTCTCCAGTGCTTCTTCGTTTAGAGGTCTCATAGGTTATCACTCGTGATTTACTTGCAAACTGTGTCCTCAATCTTCTTTGCAGGTACAATAGTGCACGTATCACTCTCTCCAGTGCTTCTTCGTTTAGAGGTCTCATAGGTTATCACTCGTGATTTACTTGCAAACTGTGTCCTCAATCTTCTTTGAAGGTACAAGAGTGCACGTATCACTCTCTCCAGTGCTTCTTCGTTTAGAGGTCTCATAGAGGAACGAACGGGGTAGTGCACATGTCGATAGCACAGCCGGAGACCAGAGCTGGTCACAACCGTACACTGGGAAAGTCTTTGCAGTCTCTTCAATGCACTCACAGCCATGCAACGTCGTCAATGTACTCACAGCCATGCAACGTCGTCAATGCACTCACAGCCATGCAACGTCGTCAATGCACTCACAGCCATGCAACGTTGTCAATGCACTCACAGCCATGCAACGTTGTCAATGCACTCACAGCCATGCAACGTTGTCAATGCACTCACAGCCATGCAATGTTGGACATTTCTGCAATCCAGAGAGGAAATGAGCCATTCAGGTTGTTGTGGCTGAGGAACCTGTGGAGGAGCAGAGCAGAGTGGTTCACTTAAGGCACGTCAAGATGATCCACCTCACCTCATGCATCTGTCAAGGTGATGCACCTCATGCATCTGTCAAGGTGATGCACCTCATGCATCTGTCAAGGTGATGCACCTCATGCATCTGTCAAGGTGATGCACCTCATGCATCTGTCAAGGTGATGCACCTCATGCATCTGTCAAGGTGATGCACCTCATGCATCTGTCAAGGTGATGCACCTCATGCATCTGTCATGGTGATGCACCTCATGCATCTGTCAAGGTGATGCACCTCATGCATCTGTCAAGGTGATGCACCTCATGCATCTGTCAAGGTGATGCACCTCATGCATCTGTCAAGGTGATGCACCTCATGCATCTGTCATGGTGATGCACCTCATGCATCTGTCAAGGTGATGCACCTCATGCATCTGTCAAGGTGATGCACCTCATGCATCTGTCAAGGTGATGCACCTCATGCATCTGTCAAGGTGATGCACCTCATGCATCTGTATTCTGTCGACTGACAGCGAGAACCGGCAGGTCAGCTGATGAGCATCTGAGCTACTGTTGCCTCCCCATGCATGCACCCATGCACCCATGCATCCATGTTCGCATGCAATCCATGTGCCCATCCTTCCATGTGGCCACGCATCCATGCTTCCATCCATCAATGTGCCCTGCATCCATGTGCCCATCCATCAATGTGCCCTGCATCCATGTGCCCCGCTGCCCTGTAGGTCATGCTCACGGGGCAAGATCGCACGAGGTGACACCGAACCGTCCATCTTCAGCTACAACTATCTGGCCATGCCAATCTTTGGCGGGTAAGTGCAAAGATAACGTGTTTATTGTATAGCACGCACGCATATGGCTTCTGCTATTGTGGTTGCCTGAGCCTTGACTCGAGGTATGTATTGTATTAACCGTGCAGGTTTCATTTCAGCGTCATGATTGTGGTCAATCCTGGCGTAGTAACTCTCCCGCTCGACGAGGACACCGCCTCCCATCCTGCGTGCCTGCTGCTGTACGACTCCCTGGGGATACATGCTGTGGGGGGCAACGCATTCAAGAACATGGCCAAGTAAGTGTTGGTTGGTGGGGGCGTACACCCATTTTCCAAATGAAAGCGGTCAACCGTCATAGTGCATGCTTCTGTCGCATCAATTACAACCATACTCTGCCTTTTTGCTTGAAAAACGCGGCCCCCTCACAGCTTGCTAGGCTTGGGCTTCGAGAAGGAGCATGGCAAGCGCACACTGGAGGAGATGAAAGCGCGGCTTGGGAGGTTCAAGCCGCACGTCATGGAGGTGAGTTGGCTAGTAGTACGCATGTCGTTACGTTTGCTATTTCTGCACCCCTGAAAACATTGTGCAGTCAGGCGCTTGGTGCAGCCTTGTGCACGATAATGCTTTCTCGCACGATATAATGCGCTCGCATGTATGATGCCCTTGTGTTGAGTGCAGCCATGTTTTTGGGCATGTTGTGAAACCGAACATGTTGTTGCACTCTACATTGTGCGCCTTTCACATTGTACGTTGGACAATCCCCGTTAAATAACTGATGCTAGTGTACACCCCTGTCCATTGTTCTTCACGCTGCCTGTGCTTTGGTGTATTGCAGGCGTGGCAGATGCCTCTGCAGCAGAACGATTTTGACAGCGGCATTTTCGTCTGCCAGTACATTCATGCGCTTGTGGAGGCGTGCTTCGAGGGTGCAGAGAACGGGGTCCGGTTCAGCATGAGCCCATTGGCGTATCGGCGTGGATTACGGGAGGATGTATGCGCTCTTGCAGAAGGTCGGCTGATCGGCGAGCTCACGGCAGCTGGGCATGAGATCCCTCGTGGCAATGAGATACGGAAACCACATGACCCCGATGTGATTGGTGATGAGGTGGAGGATAGGGAGTGGAGAGCGGAGATGGCAGAACGGATGCATAGACTGGAGGTACGCAACGGAGGGGCAGGCAGTGGCGATTGCCAAGCTGGAGAGGCAGTTGCGGGAGCTGATGCTTGATCATACTCCGCAGCATGATGGTGCCGCTGTAGGGGAGGGACGTGGTGATGTGGCAGCGGACGGTGGACCTGTGGCAGTCATGGGTGCCCTAAATGCTGACACACATGACAGCATTAGAGGTGCACATGGTGAGGTTCCTGTGGCTGACGTTGAGATGGGTGAAGGAGTGAATGTCAGTGTGCGTGAAGGTGGTGGCGAGGGTGTTATGGCTGACGGTGCGAAGAGGGACAATGAAAAAGTGGGGGTGCGTGATGCAGGTGCTGGAGGCTTGATGGGTATTACGGATGGTAACAGAGGTGCTGCAGAGGCAGTGGGTACGGGGCATGGTGTGACAGCCTCGAACGTGGATGTGGATTTGGTGTCTGCACGCAGCGCAGGGACTGAGACGACGAGTCGCAACACTGCGCGTGGGCGAGCTCCTAGCTCAGGTTATACAGGTGTAAGCAAACGGGAAGGTAAGTGGGCGGCACGACTGTGCATAGATAGCACTAATAACACGTTTCTTGCGCTGGGACGGTACACCAATATCCTGGATGCCGCTACAGCATATGCAGCAGCCGCTTACATCTGCCGACCGTCCCTCTTTAGTTCCAAGGTGGTGGAGTTGAGCGAGGAGGATAGGAGGTGTCTGGATGGTTTGACGCCGCAAGGGGTTGAAAGAATTGTGGATGCCAAGCGGTGGCCGGAGTGGAGGAACTGGCGTGTAGTGCTCAGCAGCCTCCCTGAGCCTTCCACCCCAGCGCCAGCAGGAGTTCACACACAGTCTACACCTCCCTTTCCCCACCAGCACCCTGGAGCCTCGTGTAGCAACTACCCGCAGCCAACTGCCGCCTTCGCGGGACACGTCGTTGCCTACATACGCCCTGGTGGATGGCAGCCGTACACCCAGAGCCACCCTCCCTCCAACCTCCATTATCCATCGCAGCAATATGCATTCAACCAAATCCCAATCCATCCATTCGGCCAGGTGCAAGCACACCTGTCTGTGTACACCCAGCACGTTCAGTACCCAACCTTGCAGGCCTTGCTGCAGCACAAAACACAGCACCCCTTCGGCATGTCCTACCCACACCACCAGTCGTTGCACCCAACACGACACATCCTGTTACTGACCCACAAGCCCAACAAGTTCCGCCCGCTGACCAAACTGCGCAGGCCAGGGTAGCTGGCATGACAGATTCCATGCACAGCTTGAGCATGGCTACTGCACCCAACAATGTCAACCCCCCGTCTCATGGCTCCACACTGGCAAGTGAGCCAGCAACTGGTAAGGTGTTTGGTTGTGTCACTGTTGTGCGTAACCATAACCCGTTTTTATCCTAACGGTGCATCTAATTTCTGTACTAGTTTCCTCACCGTGTGCAGGGGCAGCAGACGACACAATCGATGCGTTCCTTGGCCAATCAACACAGTAAACGCTGTGACATTTAATTATGCTGAAATTCCGTGATCTTTAAACAAAAAATCGTTCTCCTGTTTGTCAGAAGTCCACTGGTGATCCCCGATTGATCCTAGGGAAGGGTTACAGGCATGGCGGCCTGGGGGGTTATGGGCGCACTCACCCGCTACACAAACAAGCCCTTTTATCCCAGTGGTTAGTGGCTGGGATTCTGATATGGTATCAGAGCGAAGGTCTCGGGTTCAAATCCCGGTGTGTGCACCTCGGGCATCCCAGTGCGGGGGGGTGTCAGAGGTCCACTGGTGATCCCCGATTGATCCTAGGGAAGGGTTACAGGCATGGCGGCCTGGGGGGTTATGGGCGCACTCACCCGCTACACAAACAAGCCCTTTTATCCCAGTGGTTAGTGGCTGGGATTCTGATACTGTTACTTTGCTAGACATTTGTGGATCTTAACTTGCCAATAGATAGATAGCCCTAGCGTTATAACCCTCCGCCTCTGCCAGCTACATGAGAGGTGATCACGGTGTTATATACAATTAACGGCAAAACAAAACCTATGGTTACATAGCTGCGACGAACCAATTATAATCCGGGAGAAGATGTATATGGTAATTATCTTTAGGTATTAAAATGTTTCATAACCACACACAATTTATCATCACATATGCGCGCACATGTAGGTTTTTGCGCGGTCTTATGTAATATATGATTGCGACTATGATTGGACGTATTCGATTGGACGCGCAATGTCGTCACATATCCTGCGAACAAAACAAACCAATCACGCGCGGTCAAATATTTTCTAGCAAACCGACGGACGATCATTTCGTTATATGGTTGGGAATGCAATGATGGCCCCTGATTGGACGGTCATTGGCAAAAAATGGACCGCGCAGACTATTGACGAATCATGCGCGGTCGTTATTGCAGTGGCGGGTTGAAAGGGGTCAATTGAAGTTTATGATTGGTTGTTTATATGATCAGTTGCTTATTGGTTGCGGAATTGATATACCTACCGATCATTGGTCGCGCAATTAGCCCCATCTGATCGCGCATCTACTGTTGTTTGTGCCCGCCACCCTGGCGAAATTTTTGGGTGCGGAATAGTACGAAAGAATTCCTCGGGATGCCACTCGCACGAATGGGAAATTTCGAGGCTACTAACTCCGGTACGGTAATGCGCAGGGAAAAAAAAAGCAATCGGGAATCCTCTGGCGTGGCCACTCGAGCAATTATCACCAAATTTGGTGGCCACTCGAGCAATTCGAGGCCACCCGAGCAAGGAGGAATCACTGAAATGGCCACTGGAGCAATTCTCTCCATGATAGAGCACCCCCGGGTAGCTTGTGCGGGGTGGGTGCTATGGGCGACCTCGTTTCTACTATACCCCCCTTTTTGGATGATTTTTTATAACACCCCCCTTTTCTTACGGATTCATTATTATAGTCGTTAACGAGTAGCTGCAATACGGAAGAATATCGCGAGAATTTCTCCCTCGATGAAATTTCGCGGTACTTTCACTTACAATCTGCCGAGATTTCCCCCCTCCCACTATTTCCCCCTGCCACGTGCTGGTCAATCTTCCGCTGCAAGTGCCCAGAAAGGTGCCACATGAGATTTTCGTGGCGGTGATGAAGTTCGCGGCCGAAACTCACATTCGCGCCTCAGACAGTGATGTTAAAACGACCATCAAAACACCCACATTGTCTAATTTAAAAAACACTAACACTAAAATATGCCATATGTAAGGACCCGGGTAGTATGTAGCTTTTTCATATGAGAAGACCCCCCCCCCCCCCCCCCCCCCCCCATTTTTTCTGTATTTTTACATATACCCTAGGGTGTTATGTCCGGGAGAATACGGTATATCGTCTAACTTTCTCATTAGTGAAGTCCTCTATTTGGCCAACCCTTCTTCACCCACACTACCTTCAACACCCCAAAACCCTAGCCATGGCTTACACATGCAATCTCATATTCTGACAAGAATATGCTCCTAGGGAGGACAACCCGAACAGTTCCGTCAGTTTGAGTTCGGCCTACACTTCGGCCCGAACCACATACCGAGTCGCTCCGCACCAATCCGACACTTCCAAGCCACGCACGTCCCAAGGTCGTCGCGCCTAGCACAGTTCCGCCCTATATTTGCTTGTTTTCTTCATTGTTTCTTCATTTCGTAATCATGTTCTCTTTATGAAGTCTTCCGCGCACTTTGTTTGGTACAACTCATAACACACATGATCACTAAGGGCATGTAAAATTCTATCGCCCAAAGCGAATGGTCGACCATTTGGGCGGTTTTGGCGATTGCGAGGTATTTGTGTTACGCTCACTTGATTAGTCACCCCGATTTGACCGAATTGCAATGGTATTTCCGACATAGAAATGTCCGCAACGCATTTTTGGGACCTACCTAGTTCTGTCCCCAGCGGGAAGAAAATATTTGTGCTTGTCTAAACCTCCTGCTTTGTTAAACACCCTAGTATGGGCTTCCAATCTCCTTGTATTCCATACCCCATTCGAATACAGTAAAAGGAATCAAAACTTTCGCCATTAAATAAGAGGGTGGTTCTGGGTGGGTGCCCTTGTTTATGACGAAATATTTGGCGGGGTTCGATCATGTGTTACAGGCTTCGCAATCGCCAGTACTGCACAAATGGTCGATCATTCGCTTTGGGCGCTAGAAATTTACCTGCCCTAATTGGCGAAGACTGGTTCAGCGTTCCATCTGCGGGATCTTGTTCACCAAACCTAACCTTGACTTACGTTCAGTGGCTTCCGAACGTGGGCTTCCCCATTGACTTTGGTGTGGGGTTCGAGACCGTACACGCTGACGACGGGAGCTTGATATCGTACAGTTTCTGATTACCAGAACAAACGACCACTGGTCAGTAGTTTCTGATTGGCAGTCAGAACATGCAAAATGCATCCGCAATGGCAAGGTCGCATAGAGTCGCCGTTCTTCTCATCGCATTCATACTGACCCTCGCCTCACCGTCCTCGGCTGTCGTAACGCTCAACCCTTCTCAAGGTCGGTCGCGGCTCAGCCTATAGTGCATGCCACAAATATTCAATATTTAATTCTTGCCGAAAATCTATACACGTACATATGCGCGCCGCCTATTCGCTGCTAGGGTTTCAGACCACCAATTTTTGCGCGGTGACCAGGGCAGACGCAGACTCAAACGACGGGTCAGTGACAACAGTGGCTAGCAGACGCGTGACAGTAGGGTGCTCAGCACGAAACCGGTCAGACTCAGGGTCCGCGACGTCAGGCAAAGAGGACGCAGGGGGAGACGGAAGAGGAGTACGCTCCGGAGTAGGGGACCGACGCAGGGCTACAAGGCGTGTGCCGGGGACAGCCGGCTGACGCGGACGAGGAACACGACGACCGGTACGACTAGGACGAACAGGCGAGACAGGACGCGACGCAGGCTCACGACGCGCAGCAAGACCCCCTGTCTGCTCAGTGTAAGGAGAAGGAGCAGGCAGCGGTGAGCCAGGCTGTAACGGAAGACCAGTAGACGACGGGAGAGTAAGAACCTGACGAAGAACAGAGTCAGGCGGCGGCAGAGATGACGGAGACGGCGGAGCGAAGAACAGTCGTGTCGGCGCAGCTGCACCAGTACCGGCAGCTCCAGCAGCTCCAGCAGCTCCAGCAGCTCCAGCACCTCCAGCAGCTCCAGAAGCTCCAGCCCCAGAACCGACACCTCCAGGCCCAGGGTCTCCAACCTCAGTGCCTCCAGCAGCAGCACCCCCAGAACCAGCACCTCCAGTCCCAGGGTCTCCAGCCTCAATGTCTCCAGCAGCAGCACCCCCAGAACCAGCACCTCCAGTCCCAGGGTCTCCAGCCTCGGTGTCTCCAGCAGCAGCACCTCCAGACGCAGCACCCCCAGCCCCAGCAGCTCCAGTACCTCCAGTACGAGCACCTCCGGGACCAGCGACTCCAGCACCTCCAGTAGACAAAGTACCAGCACCACTCCTAGCTCCAGGGACGTCAGCAGAAGTACCTCCAGCAGCAGAGCCCCGGGCTCCAGCAGCGCGACCCTGACGGCGACCGTACCAGTCGTGCAGCTGCTGAGAGGTGAGAGGCACACGTGGACGAAGGCGGCTACTCCAAGGAGACCGCGCAACAGCACCCTCAGCACCAGTACCTCCAGCAGCTCCAGAACCTCCAGCGCCAGCACCCTCAGCAGCTCCAGTACCTCCAGCAGCTCCAGAACCTCCAGCGCCAGCACCCTCAGCAGCTCCAGAACCTCCAGCTCCAGCGCTACCAGGACCAGGCCCTCGAGCAGCTCCAGAACCTCCGGCGCCAGCACCCTCAGCAGCTCCAGAACCCCCAGTGTCAGTACCCTCAGCAGCTCCAGAACCTCCAGCAGCGCGGCCCTGACGGCCAAGGTACCACTCAACCAGCTGCAGGGAGGAGAGGGGGAGTGGACGACGAGAGGGCAGCGGCGAGGCACCAGCGGAGCGACTACGGAGACGGCCGCTCCAGGGAGACAGCTCACCAGACGCCTCAGCAACCCCAGGTGCAGCACCCCCAGACTCAGTACTGCCAAGCTCAGCACCTCCAGGCCCCACACCCTCAAGCTCCGCACCCCCAGGCTCAGTACCCCCAGGCTCAGCACCCTCAGGCTCAGCACCCCCATCAAGTTTGTTTCCTGCCCGAGTTTTTTTTTGCCTACCCACCTGGGCGGGGTCAACAGATTCTCCCAGAAAGCGTCAAGGGTTTTGACCCTAGCGTTTTAACGTCACCGTCAAAA